GACCACACAGGGTAATGCTGTTAGTAGGCAGGGCTAGCACAGGGTAATGCTTGTAGGTAGCAGGGAGTAGCACAGGGTAATGCTGTAGGATAGCAGGGGTAGCACGCGGGGTAATGCTGTAGTGTAAGCAGGGCCACACAGGGACTGCTGTTAGGGAGCGGGTGCACAGGGAGTAATGCTGTAGTAGCAGGGTTAGCAAGCATGTAATGCTTGTACGGTAGCAGGGTTAGCCACAGGGTAATGCTGTAGGCTAGCAGTGTGTAGCACAGCGGGTTAATTGCTGTAGGTAGCAGCGACCACACAGGTAATGCTGTAGGTGCAGAGCGTAGCACAGGGGTAATGCTTAGGTAGAGCGGCTAGCACAGGTTAATGCTGTTTAGGTTAGCAGTGGCCACACAGCATGGTAATGCCCTTGTAGTAGCAGACCACACAGGTAAGGTATGCTGTAGGTAGCAGGGTAGCACAGCTGGTAATGCTGTAGCGTAGCAGTTGTAGCCACAGGGTACATGCTGTATGGTAGCGGGGCCCACAGGGCTAATGGCTATAGGTAGCGGGACACAAGGGGTAATGTGTAGTAGCAGGGTAGCACAGGGTAATGCTGTAGGTAGCAGGGTGCCAGCGGTAAATGCTTGTAGGTAGCAGGGTAGCACAGGGGTAATCGCTGTTAGGTAGCGAGACCACACATGGGTAATGCTGTAGGGTAGCATCGGAGGTTAGCACAGGGTAATGCTGTAGGTAGCAGGGTAGCCAGGGTAATTGCTGTCAGGTAGCCAGACCACACGGGTAATGCTGTGCGTACACAGAGAAAGAGCGGCGTTAATGCTGATACGGTAGCAGGGTAGCACAGGGTAATGCTGTAGCGTAGCAGAGGCTAGCACAGAGTAATGCCTGTAGGTAGCGCGGCCACACAGGCGTGGTATGCTGTAGTAGCACGGACCACACAGGGTAAATGCTGTAGTGCAGTGGTTAGACGGGTTAATGTGTAGGTAGCGGGTACACGCCGCGTAATGCTGTACGGTAGCATGGGTTAGCACAGAGGAATGCTCGTAGTAGCAGGACCACCACAGGTATTTTTTTGCCCTGTACGCGCATAGCAGGACCACACAGGTTAATGCTGGAGTAGCAGGTCTTAGCACGGGTAACTGCTGTACCCGGATAGGCAGGGTGCACAGGTAATGCTGTAGTAGCAGGGTAGCACAGAGCACAGGGTAATGCTTGTAGTAGCAGGCACACACAGACGGACGAAGTCAGGACTCGACAGTACCACCAGAACTACTGCACTGATCGGCTATTACTTGACGTGCCCTTCCCAAATTGCCGTGATGTCCCGGAGATTGGCCGATATCACAGGCGACATAACTGCCGTGGCCCCTCTACGGTGATTGGCCTTCTGTTCCTATCCATGACTTCCCAACTAGTTTGTATGTGTGTGTTTATTCCTCTTGTGACCCCATGAGAGTGCTATTATACAGCTAAAATAGTACAATGTATCACATAATACTCATTACATACAGTAATACATGTATTATTTCGGCTCTTCATAGCACTGATAACACCGGTCTTTGTAGGAATGTTTGACTCGGTGTACCGCTTTAGACATGGCGATGATGTCTCTCTAGCTGGCTGCTTGCACCAATTCTGGTGCTCTTGTAGGACAAGATGGCCTGCTGGCTATAGGTGGACCACGCGGGACAACCAGGCCCGGCTCCAACGGCCGCCTTTACATCAGAACATCCTGCCGAAGGGAGCCGCGCATCGGAGATGGCCGCCTGAAGCCATGGGAGGACCGGTTCATGGAGTTGTGTTCTTGCTGTGTGCAACGTGCTGCCTACGCTACACATCGCTACATCATGTTCTTTTTTATTGATCTTATTACATCATATATTATTAAATTACTTTATATATATATATATATATATATATATGTTTAGTTACATAAGTGGTTTATAGTAATGTTTTTTTATATATCAATACATTCTATATTGACTGATAGGCACCTAATAAAACCTAGATTGAAGCTAACAATTTTACCGCGTAACCCCAGTACGGAATGGGGGTACAGGTGGCAGCACGAATACATCGCGTGAGAGGGGGGCATCATTTGTAAAGGCACTGCTCAAGCACGTGTGGCGTGACATCTTGACAAGTCGTTTTTTTTCGGCCACCCGCAGGCCACCACTCTTTGTTCCTTGTCGGGGAGCTGTCCGTGACGATAGCGTTTTCGCGTCCATGACGTAGCGGTTTTCGCGTCCGTGACGTAGTCGTTTTCCGGTCCGTGACCGTAGCTTTTCGCGTCCGTGACGTAGGCGTTTCGCGTCCGGTGTACGTAGCGTTTTCGCGTCCGTGGACGTAGCGTTTTTCGTTGTTTCGCCACCAGTTGTGAACGGGATTGAGATGGATGGCCAAAGTCTCAGCAGGCAGGCGGTGCAGATACTGCGGCAGACGAGTGGGATGCAGTCGTTGACCTCGTCGTCTCACGCCAGGAGGTGTTTTGACACAACGCTGCCCCGAGAACTGGTACGTGGGCGCTACCGCCACCTGGTGGGCACGCGGATGATCAGGTGATAGGTGGCGGTGGGGGGCGTCGGTGTTGAGGGATGGGTCGGGCTGAGGGTTTGGTCACTGTTGTGTTTGTGTGGGTTGTGTGCGCAGATGGAGGTGGTGTAGCATTGCAATTAAATCTAACGGTGCCTGTGATTTCTGTGCGCGCTGTGTTTGCGTGTGCACGTAATGCATGACCATGCTAGTCCGTTTGGGTTTTGTGTTTGAATCTTATTTTCGGTCCAAACTAGCCTGGCAAACTAGGCTTGGAAATAGATTTACCTGCCTGAGCTGTGCAATAAGCATCACACAGATGCATAGATCTGATGGTTGTTAATGACTCATCACGTACGCTGAAGAGAAGAGAGAGAGAGAGAGAGAGTAGGAGAGAGGAAGAGAGAGAGAGAGGAGAGAGAGAGAGAGAGAGGAGAGGAGAAGAGTGAGAGATGAAGAAGAGCGAGGGAGAGAGAGGAGGAGAGAGAGGACGATGGAGAGATGAGAGAGAGAGAGAGAGGAAGCCAAGGGATGAGAGAGAGAGAGAGAGAGAGAGGAGAGGGGATGAGAGGAGGAGAGAGAGAGAGAAGAGGAGAGAGAGAGAGATGAGAAAAGGACGCGTTGGTGGAGATGGGAGGGTGGAGGGGAGTGCGTGAGACGAGGGAGTGAGGAGAAGGGCAGTCCAGTCTTATTCTCCCTACTATCTCCACCGTACATGTTTCCAATTTTACCTGTCCACGTATCCTCTATGGCTTCCCTACATCTCCACCTCGCGCATCTCTTTCCATACGTTTCCCCTGCTACGCTCCGATAGCTCCTTATCTCTCTGGTCCTTATCCGCGCTATCCAACTCCTCCCTTACCCCTGCCTGACCGGTCACTATCTGGTGTGTACCCTTTCTTGCCCCACCCTCACCGTTCCTCGACACGATCCCGCCTTGCCACGTCACACCCGCACTCTGAAGACCGATAGGACAGAGAAAGAGGTTAGAGTGAGGGATGGTTGAGGGGGAGGGAAAGGGACAGATACGATGGAGAGAATAGAGAGAAAGAGGATGAGGCAGACAAGACACACGGACTGTGCAGATAGACAGGAGATGAGAGAGAGTAAATGCGATGAGAGATGAGATGGCCTGACGAGGAGAGGATCGAGATCGCGAGCCAGAGAGAGATGAGGAGAGAGAGAGAGATGGAGAGGAGAGAGAGGAGAGAGAGAGAGATAGAGAGAGGAGAGAGATCGAGGACGTGTGAGAGTATTGGAGGGAGACGAGAGAGAGAGAGAGTGAGATGGAGAGAGAGAGAGAGAAAGAGAGGACGAGAAGAAGGAGTGAGAGAGAGAGAGCAAGAGAGAGAGGAGAGAGATGATGGAGGAAGAGAGAGAGGAGAGAGTGGCGATGGAGGAGAGGGAGAAGACGTGATGGAGAGGAGGAGGAGAGAAGCGGAGAGAGAGTGAGAGAGACGGAGAGAGAGGAGAGGAGAGGAGAGACGAGAGAGAGAGAGAAGAGAGGAGAAGAGAGACGAGATGATCTGAGAGCAGAGAGAGCACGAGAGATGAGAGAGAGCAGAGAATAAGATGAGAGAGGAAGGAGAGCGAGAGAGAGAGAGAGGAGAGAGACGATGAGAGAGAGAGAGAAGAGAGCCACGAGACAGATAAGCTGCTAACATGTGCGCTTTGAAGTTCTATCTTAGGGGGGGTCGCTTGCATTGATGCTGTGTCTGTGCCTGCCTATGCTCGCTCTCTCTCTGTCTCTCATCATATCTCTCCGATTATATGTTATACTAACATTTCCCTCCTACCCTATCTACATACTCCCTTCTCTTATCTTCTTACTCTATTTTTTTTCTCGACCTTTATCTATTTACCATCCAGCCTCTTCGCACTTTATCTTATCTTCCATTCATTCCATCTCATTCATTCATTCGATCAACAATTCCATACCATTCATTCATCAATCCATCCGACTGCCAGTCCATCGCATCCATCCATCCATCCATCCTCCTATCCATCCATCAATCCATCCATGTTCCACCATCCATCCTCCATCATCCATTCCTCCATTCCATCCATCCATCACATCCCATCCATCCACTCCATCATCCGATCCATCCATCCTATCCATCCATCCAGTTCTGCCCGATACTTCCATTCATCCATCCATCCATCATTCATCGCATCCATCCATCCATCCATCATCCATCCTGCCATCCATCCAGCCATCCATCCATCATCCATCCATCCATCATCCTCTATCCATCCAATCCATCCATCCATCCAATCTCATCCATCCACCTACTTCTAAACCATCCATCCATCCATCCATCCATCCTCCATCATCCATCCCATCCGATCCATCCATCCATCACATCTCATCTATTCGTCCATTCCAATCGCATCCATTTATCCATCCATCCATCATCCATTCCATCCTCATCTTCACCATCCAATCCATCCATCCAGTTCTCCATCCATCCATCCTCCATCCATCATCCATCCTCCTCCTCGCATTCCATCCATCCATCGACATCCATCCATCCATCCATCCTCCATCCATCATCCATCACCATCCATCGTCCATCATCATCCACATGCATCCATCCCACATCACATCCATCCATCCATCCATCCATGCCAATCCACATCCATCCACCATCCACTCCATTCCATCCATCACCACATCCATCCAATCATCATCATATCCATCCATCCATCCATCCATCCACCTATTTATCCAGCCATCCATCAGTCCATCCATCATTCTATCTCTCCCCCTCCCCTTCACTTCCCCTGTCTGTATTCCTCTCTCTCTCTCGCTCTCTCTCTCTTCCCCCTCTCACTCTCCCATGACATTCCTCTCCTTTGTACATCCATTGCCACGCTCCTCTCCAGCTTGGCTTTCTCCAATATCTCATCTCACACATTGTTCTCTCTCTCGCTCGCTTGACATTGCTGATGCTGGATAACTGATCACGTGTAATAACCAACACTGTTCGTGGGGGCAGATTGCAGAATAGTAGAATTTCTGCTTTGTATTGCACCTGTAGGTGGCGCTTGACTCAGTGCCTGCAGGCACCCTCTCTTGCCGGGTGAGTGGTTTGTACACCTTAACGCGCATAACACTGCCTCTACTACCGTGACAGGTCGCGACCTGGGAGAGGGATTAGCAGAATAGTGGGACAGACGTAGACGCGTTTTTTTTCGCAAATTGTAGCTATATGTATTTTAATCCAAATAGGGGCTGAGCGTTTGTTATTTTAATGTTAATGTTACTGTATAAAGTAAAAATATTTAAAATTACTACATTTATTTTTTGAACTAAGTTTGTAAGGTCAATCTTTTTTTTTTTACTTTAACTTGGAATTCATCGATCATAATTTTGAAATCTCAAAACGTGTAAAAATTTGTTCTCGCCAATGTCAGAAGTTCTGAGAGGCAATGAAGCTGTTTAAATGGACAGTCAGTTACTGGCTTACTGCTAATTAATTAATTAACGATGCAGATCACTAGGAAGTCCGGGGCTGTGGTCTCAGTGATAGAGGCAGGTTATCAATGGTTGTGGAACTAACCGTATGTGCTTTCGTGTGTGCGTGCACGCGCGTGCACGTGTTTAGCATGTACTAACGCTTTGCAAAGCCATGTTTATGGCTGGCTTGCTGTGAGTATCCATGTTTGGGATACGCTTCCATGCCTGCTTTATAACTAACCCAGTAACTAACCACAATAACGCTACAATAACACGACTGGCTCTTTCAAGCTGACAGCAGCTAACACATGCACGTTGCCGTGTGTACGAGTTGATAGGCAGGTGATCGTGCATCTTGTGCTTTGAGTAATAACAACAGCATGCATGCAGAGTAACAACTACAGCAATAACATTGCACACTGGTGTCGGTCTATGTCTTAAAACACAAGAACAGTACTGCAGAATGGCAAACAGCTGGTTGTCATTACATGTTTGTTGGCGTCGCAACCAGCATCTTCCAAATACGTCCAAATCGTCCAAATCTTCCAAACAATGCGAACTTTCTTTCAGGGGCAAGGACAATCAACGCATGCTTAAACTATAGTAATGAATAGTTGTAATAATTTTATCACAAAAATGACTAATTATCGAAGTGTTTCCATGATCCATCATATATGTAAATGTCGATAACTCAAGTTTATACTTACCTGTAGGTTCATGTTTGTATTAATGCATTGTCACTGTGTTTGTTTTTCTCGTTTGTTTGTCTGCCATGTTTATGTTTGTTCGCTTGTTTGTTGTGAATCATTTCGCTGTGGGGTGGTTGTTTAACAAGAGTAGGTGTATAATCTTACGTGGTGTCTACACTGTGTGTGCATTCACATGGCGTTCATGTGATGGTGGAATAGAGAAACCAGCATCTGTATAACAGCATACATGCTAGGGTCTTCATTCGCTCTGTTAATTACGTTTTCTTAAAGCTATCGCAGACAAGTGATACGGAGGGGGCAGTTGAATAAATACTGAAAAGAAATAGAATACATATAAATATATATATATGTGTGTGGGGCAGTTGAATAAATACTGAAAAGAAATAGAATACATATAAATATATATATGTGTGTGTTATAATGATCAAATAATAAGTGAGTTTCGTGGGGTTGGCACACCTAACATTTCATACAACACTGTAACCCCCGCAGCGCTGCTGCGCATGTAAGGGCAGCGCGGCGGCGGCGGCAGCGGCGGCGGCGGGGGTTATCGCGTGGCATCGATGGCATGACTTGTAAGCGCGCGCGTGTGTGCGCACCATGATTGTGCTTGCAGCCGGCGGAGAAGCTAGGCGAGGACGTGCTGCTGACGCCCGGACTGCAGAAGGAGATCCTCACGTTCGAGATCGCCGTCAACGATACGGGATCTGCCGGCCTCGGTACGTCGATCATCGCGCCGCTAGATCACCGGTCATTCACTGTGTGATGCTAGATCACCGGTCATTCACTGTGTGATGCGATGCTAGATCAGCAGTCATTCATTTTCTCAATGTGACATTAGAATACTGGCAGTCCACCGTATCACACCATTCACTGTGTAACACTCAATCACCATTCATCTGAAGGTCATCATTGGTAGTGTGTCATTCCAGCTGGCAACAGATGCAATAATGATCCTAACACTCAGTTGCTGACATTACATTCTTCTTCACGCTCATTCACCTCATCTCAACATGTCAACACACGTCATCGTAACACTCGACTACGATTCATCCTAACATCAAATCACCTCTCTCATTAATCAAACGATTAATGAGTAAAGCAATTAATTAAGTAATAAAAAATTTAAAAGTCAATTAAGCAGGTATAGAAAAAAAATTATGTCAATTAATAAATTGAGCAATGAGTAATTAAACGATTAATGAGTAAACGATAGACGCGTGATCTCGCTAACCTCCTCCACCCGCCATCTCTCCCCGGCAGGCGTCAGCGTGAAGGGAAAGACGACGAACACGCCCAACGGACCGAAAGATCTCGGCATCTTCATCAAGTGCGTGATCCATGGGGGCGCGGCGCACAAAGATGGCCGCCTGCGCACCAACGACCAGCTGCTGTGAGTAAACAACGCACGCACGCGCCGCGATCGATAGCAGACGACCGTGGTGAAGTAGCGTAGTGGAAATAGGGGGAAGCTTTGGTATGCACGCGTGTGAAAAACACCTGTGTGAACTGGACTAGCTTGCAGTAACAATACACAACAGCCCAAGGGGAGCGTGATTTTCTTGGTCGGGCATGGTGGAGTGAATATGAGAAAGGAGTCAGTGGAATGGAGTGGAGTGTGGAGTGGAGTGTATATTGGAGACGTGGACCATCTATCTATACAGGATGGAGATCCACTGCCGTCCACCCAACCTGAGTACAATGAATTCATCATTCGGTGCCAACGAGCTATAAACTTGAGCAAACGATGAGCTAATCCATACCTGTGTGTGTGTGTGTGTGTATGTGTGTGTGTGTGTGTGCGCGTGCACGTGCGTGCGTGCGTGCGTGTGTGCGCATGCGTGCGTGCGTGTGTGCGTGTGTGCGTGTGTGTGCGTGTGCATGTGTGTGCATCCGTGTGTGTATATGCGCACGTGTGTGTGTGTGTTTGCGTGTGTGCATGCGTGCGTGTGTGTTTGCATGTGCGTGCGTGTTTGCGTGTGCATGTGTGCGTGCGTGTTTGTGCGTGCGTGCGTGTGTGTTTGCGTGTGCTTGCGTGCGTGCGCACATCTGTGTATAATCCGTGACCCCGCGACCTTGCATCATGACAGGTGCGTTAACGAGCAGGGCCTCGTCGGTAAGACTAACGACGCGGCGATGTCGGGCCTGCGACACGCGATGCAGGGAGGGCCGGGCGACGCGGCGGCGGCAGCGGCATCAGTAGCTGCTGACAGCATCACCGTGGTGATCGCGCGGCGTCTGCCGTCCACCGCCGACTCAAACAAGAGCATGGACTCGAGCGACGGCAACGTCGAATACCTCGCCATCACAAAGGTACATTGTCGTGCCACCAGGGGGCAGCACGCAGGTGCCACGATGCCCAAGGAGCTAAATATAACAAGGAGAGGAAGCAGATTGGCTGTGTGCTTTTCGCTTCAAGGACGCCATCTATGGACCATAATCAGCTGAAACGGCTGTGCAGACCCGAACCCAGAGACAATAGAACACTAATCTGTTCTAGGCCAATATGACCAAATATGGCAAAGATTTGGGTCAGATATGGCGGCGCTTCCTCTCCTTGTATATATTTAGCTCCCTGGCGATGCCCAGAGCACATTTATTACTGATACCAGGGGGCAGTAGGCGTGCGGGTGGGGGTGAGGTCAAATAACTTCGAACAACTTCTTTGTCATCAATGAAGGTATGTGTGTCCCCAGGTGGCAGCACGTGCATGAGGGACAACTTCACCACATAAAATAATCCTTGTTGAACAGAAACACGTATGCCCATGCCCCAAGCTCTTCAAGCAGCCAAAATAATAAAAAACAGAAAATAAGCCAAAATCGACAGATAATAGATTACAACCGGGCACGCAAACAGCGAACGGCAACAGCGAAGTGACGATCGCTGTTTTTCGCCACCAGGTGGACAATGAGCTTTACGCGGAGGAGACGACGGGCGACGGCTCAGAGGACACGAACACGACGAACACGCTCAGCACGGTGGTGCCCTCTCGTGGCCCCGTCGGCGACGGGCCCCCCCTGCCGAGCATGCAGAGAAACCCGGTGATTGACAGGTGGGTGTGGCCGCGGAGCGCGCTTGTTATTAACGCAGTGGCTACGCGTCCGGTCATCCATTACAAAGCTCAGCACAGATTCCCATATCCACGTCACGATTAGGCCATGCGCATCCATTTTCAAATCGTTGATTTTACTGGATTTACTATTGCTTCAAAAGTTACAAAAACACTCAAAGTTACAAAATACCTGAAGGTAAGTAATGTTATGGTCAAAACTTATTGTTTATTGTTTTTTACTGAAAAAATATAGTTGGGTTCACATAAGAAATATATGACCGGACGCGTAGCCTGGGAGGAAGCTGGGCGTCCGGTAACCGGACGCGTAGCCACAGCCTTTTATTAATTAAGTAATCTATAGTTCGTTTCATGTTATCTACATTAGATTATATTTAATCTAATCTAATCGCGCCTCCCTCAGGCTGACTGGTACCAACAAACTCTACAACGACTCGTACTACCGAGCGACGCACGAGAGCATGATGGAGGGAACGGCGCAGGAGAGCATGATGATGGAGGGAGCGACGGACGAGCCGGACGGAGGACGCATGGTGCGGTCGCCGGTGAGGGAGGCGCGGCGCGGGGGCGTGCGCTCTCCTCCCGTCATCGACGTCGCGCAGGAGACAATGAGGATCGTCGCTGACTACGACAAACAGGTGCGTGTGTGTGTGCTCGCATGCGTGTATGTGTGTGCGCGTGTGTGTGTGTGTGCGTGTGTGTGTGTGTGTGCATGCGTGCGCGTGTGCGCGCATGCGTGCGTGTGTGCGCGGCGCGTGTGTGTGTGTGCGTGTGTGTGTGTGTGCATGCGTGCGCGTGTGCGTGCGTGCGTGCGTGCGTGTGTGTGTGTGTGTATATGCGCGCGTGCGTGTGTGTGCGCGTGTGCGTGTGTGTGTGTGTGCATGTGCGTGCGTGCGTGCGTGCGTGCGTGCTTGTGTGTGCGTGCTGCTTGTCGTTTCTGTATGAGATCACAAAAATGCCAAGCAACCCTATATTTATATACCTATATCTATAACAATATACCATATACGTACTTGTAGTTTTATGTTTACTGATATTAATAATAATTACTCTACAGTAACTCTCGTATGTCTCAATTTTATATATCTACATGCGCATGTTTTGTTTCGGTGGAGAGAGATCAGCAGCATTAGCCGTGATGCCCAAGGAGATAAATATAACAAGGAGAGGAAGCGCCACCATATCTGGCCCCAAATTTGGGTTCGGCAGAGACCCTAGAAGAGATTAGTGTTCTATTGTCTCTGGATTCGGTCTGCACAGCCGTTTCAGCTGATTTTGGTCCATAGATGGCGTCCTTGAGGCGAAAAGCACACAGCCATTCCGCTTCCTCTCCTTGTTATATTTAGCTCCTTGGTGACGCCAAGCCTGCAATATCTCAGCTGTGGGTTGTAATCGTGGCCAGCTTCAGTCGTTACTATCACCTGGCAGGTCAATCGAACATTCTTCTCGTATTCGTTCTTGCAGAATGCGTGGCAGCCGCCTCCCAGCAGCCGCGGCCGTGGCACGGCGACCGAGGTCAGCAGCAGCAGTCTGCCACCAGATGTCAGCACGAGAGCACCCGAGCCGCCGGCGTGGCTCATCAACTGGCAGGAAGAGTCGATTGAGATGTAAGCAGTAACATCGCTGTGGTAATGTAGTCGATCTTCGATGGGCCGGATTTCTCGGACATGCTCTGGCGGCCGAATCCCTCACGATCGAACGCCTGGTCGCCAGCACCGATCCTACATGCCGGTGGGAGAGAGAGAGAGAGTCATGTACTATAGGCAGGGCTGTAGCTACCATTAGGCAATAAGAACAAATGCCTCCTACAAAATTTCTTCTGGGGCCCTTAAGCGGGCCCCATACCCCATGCCCTATTGGCTCGCTTTGCTCCTTGTTCTTTAACTCACAACATTTGCCTCCTACAATCTGACCTACTACCTGACTATAGGTAGTAGGTACATATTCATGAACGTACGTATTTGCACGCCGGTGGGAGAGAGAGAGAGAGTCGTGTACTTTATGTAGTAGGTACGTATTCATGAATGTACGTATCTGCACGCCGGTGGGAGAGAGAGAGAGAGAGAGTCGTGTACTATGTATGCGTGTATGTATACACACACGTCAGTATGTATGTATGTATGCATACATGCACGAACGCATTTACATGTACACGCTCGTAGGTGCAGGCATGATTGTGCTGTTGCTGCTAATATGTGTGTGTGTGTGTGTGTATTGTACATATGTATGTACACACACACACAAGCAGACACACACAGACACATGCACATACGCACGCACGCGCGCACATGTATGATTGCAGTGTTGTTAATGCAGTACATACACACACGTATGAGATCACGTCTGCACACACACACACACACACACACGCGCGCGCGCGGCATGTGCTACCACTCCCCCTTACCTAGCAGCTGTTCCCGCATGCGCTGCCACTCCCCCTTACCTATCAGCTGTTCCCACATGCACTACCACTCCCCCTTACCTAGCAGCTGTTCCCGCATGCGCTGTCGCTCCCTCTCGCGTTCTTCGCGGAGTCGTTTGTTGCGTTGGTAGGTGTCCGTGCTCTTGGCAGGAACAGCTGCTACTTAAGGGGTAGTCGTAGCACATGCGGGAACAGCTGCTAGGTAAGGGGGAGTGGTAGTCCATTCAGGAACAGCTGCTAGGTAAGGGGGAGTTGTAGCACATGCAGGAACAGCTGCTAGGTAAGGGGGAGCTACAGCACATGTGGGAACAGCTGCTAGGTAAGGGGGAGTGGTAGCGCATGCGGGAACAGCTGCTAGGTAAGGGGGAGTGGTAGCGCATGCAGGAACAGCTGCTAGGTAAGGGGGAGTGGTAGCGCATGCGGAACAGCTGCTATGTAAGGGGGCATGGGGGTGCATGTGGGAACAGCCACCAGATGAGATGGGAGAACTCCCTCAAACACGAGATAAAGGAAGAACCTCCTGCAAGGAGAGCCACACAGAGTGTTCAGCGTGGACGCAGAGAACAACCACATGTTTCGTGTGATGAACGTTCCACAATATTCCACGTGTTCTTCCGGGTGTTCGAGGCAGCGATGATTCGTTTCGCGACAACCGTTGTAGACTGCCGACGTTGAATCAGGTTTTGTTTTTGCTCCCCCACGCCGATGCATCGCAGAGTTTGTCGTGAGAAAGGCGGGTGCAGACTACGCACGGTGCGTTGCTAACGGATTAAAACGCAGTCGCTCATGCAAAGGTAACGTCGGCATGGCAACGTCACTGCATGGCTGTGCTCCCTCAGCACCTAGACGGACGCCGGGTGGCATGTGTGCGCCCGCGCACCCTGCGGCTACGCACTCGGAGCCAGTCTAGGATGGCTGCTGGCTTTAGTTCCGTGGCATGTTTGGCACGCTCCCCTTTCGCTCTCCTCACGCTAGCAGCACGCGCGGTTATTATTCTGTGTGTTTATAGTGCACGCGGTCTCATTGTTGTGTTTTATTTTGGATGTTGATGCTCGTGGTTGTCATAGCAACGGTTGCCGTGTGTCGCATGAGTCATGTCTGCCGCCTGCATGCTAGTCGGCGGCCATCTTGAATGAAGAGAGAGCGTGTGTGCGCGCGCACGCGAGTGTGGACGTGTGCGAGTGGCGTGTGTGTTTGTGCGTGCACGTGTGAAGAGAGAGCGTGTTTGTGTGCACGCGAGTGTGGACGTGTGCGAGTGGCGTGTGTGTTTGTGCGTGCACGTGTGAAGAGAGAGCGTGTGTGCGTGCACGCGAGTGTGGACGTGTGCGAGTGGCGTGTGTGTTTGTGCATGCACGTGTGAAGAGAGAGCGTGTGTGTGGACGTGTGCGAGTGGCGTGGGTGTTTGTGCGTGCACGTGTGAAGAGAGAGCGTGTTTGTGCGTGCACGCGAGTGTGGACGTGTGCGAGTGGCGTGGGTGTTTGTGCGTGCACGTGTGAAGAGAGAGCGTGTGTGCGCGTGCACGCGTGT